CTCTCTCTCTCTCTCTCTCTCTCTCTCTCTCTCTCTCTCTCTCTCTCTCTCTCTCTATTAAAAAACGAACTTATAAATACATACAAAAAAATTTTTTTAATTATATGTAAGAAAGAAGAAAAAAAAAAGATTTTTCGTAATTTTTCTTAATTTCATGATTTGATATAATCATAGAAAATGATATGATCATGAGAAAACGAGTCTCAAGAGCATATATAACATTTCTAATCAAATATCAATACAAATTCTGATGATATTGTGTCAATTGCGTTGCCCTGATTGTCCCTTTTTTATACATAGTAGCAACTCTGATTTATAGTCGTCAGTAACAAATGGAGGAGGTGCAGGTCAATGCAGCTTATTGCGGCAAACGCCTTGTAAAATAACACGCACGCTTCGAGAATGCGGCCAAAATGATGATTGTCGTTTAATAAACGTATTAAGTGGACACATCTCGGTATCGGAGCCCGAGTGTTTCTTTGACGTTAACTGATAAAAATGAAGCAGAACGCTTATCGCAAACTAGGTCGTTGCAACTCATGTTTCAACGGTTTGGATGCATTCGTTCAACACAAGGCATAGTTGTAGCGAAACGTAACTAATTCACTCATTTTACTAGAAGGCTCTACAAAGCCTATATTTATAAGTTCTCTCTAAAAACTTTTGATTAAACGAAATAATTAAAAAATAAAAATAAAACAAGTTATATTCTAATTTGTATAGAAAAAAACTTTTTAATAAAGGTACTAGTTTAATTTAATTTTAAATTTATTTTGTACTATGATATCTCTTTAATTTGATGTGATAATATACTTACAAGTTTGATAGTAATTACTTTGTTAGATCATGTATAAGTAATATATAACAATTATTTATTTAAGTTTGCTAGTTACTTATTAGGAGTAAACGGAAATAGATAATGAATTAAGTTTTATGTCAGCCGAATATGAATTAATTTTTATAATTATAATTGAATAAAAACTGAAAAAAATATGAATGAATAAATGTTGTTTGTATTACTTTTTGCTTTGAGATGTAAATTATCTATATCACAATTAGATCTCAATCCGTAGAAAATTTATGTTGATTAAAAAATTGGATGTAATGACAATGGCGCCATGCTATGCATGTCGCATGCAACCCTTAAACGTAAGGTGATGACCTCCATTGCGCGATGTCCTACTGCTTCTGACAATATGCGGAATAATAGTTCTACACTGATACTGACATGAACTCTTTCAGACTTCCATGAACTCACCGCATTATTTAACGAGAACTTTCAAGATATATTTAAATATAATTTTTACATTTCGTGCATTTATTGGAAATATTGCAACCAAAAATAAGACATTAATAATTAAATAATTATCATTTGAAATATTAATCTAAGTTAATTTACAGCTAAATACTACAATATATATACATATATATATATATATATATTAAGAATAAATTTTTGTAATATAAAAATTATAAAAAAATATAAGTTAATTTTAAT